CTTCTCAGGAGACGCAGCCCCCAGCGCCAGGCGAGGCCGAGCTCAGGGCTGAACCCCGAAAGGGGAGGAGTGAGGGTCGGTGCGCTGCAGGGGTCCCGGAATAGGGCGGAAGGAGAGACCCGAGGCCAGACCTCCAGGCAAAGGCCTGGGTGAGAGGGAGCTGAGGGACAGGTGCCGGGTTGTCATGAACAGGACACAGGGCCACACCTGTCCCATTATCCTCCCGGCACAGCCCCCTGATAAAGGGCCGATGGGGGTCAGGAGGAGGCAGCGCCCACGGGGGCTCCGGTGGGGAGCTGCGGAGGGCAGAGCCCGGGGGGTAGAGGGATGAACTGGGCTTGTTCTGGCCACCATGGCCAGAAGAATATACCTGAGGAACTAACAGTAAAGGTACAACGAGATCCCTACTGTACAGGACAAGGCCCGACAGGCTAACCCGATAATTACCTCTCCCCCTGAGTTCCCACAGAAAGAACATTACCAGTCATGCTCCAGCCAAGCGTAACTCCATTACTCATTGCAAAACATTGTGTTTAAATCATCCCCTTTGTGTTGCTAAAGGTCCCCCCTTGTTTCCTGTACCCAAAGCTGACAGCCTGACAAATGATTGGAAACCCCTGTACTGCAGTTCCCTTGTTGTTACTGCGCATAAAGTGAGAGAAGAACTGAGGGTCCGGGCTGCAGTTCTGCTCTCACATGGGTGAGCCCCCCGCCACTGTAGCCGCTGGCCAGCTAATAAAGGCTCCAGATTCAAACAGAAACTCTGGTGGTCGTCTGTCGCCGGTCACCCCAGAACAGGCTGAGCTCCAGGAAATTCTGGAATAAATCACAGCCCCGAGTACACTGTATGCTTAGTCTGGGGGACCCTCTGACCCAAAAGGGTGTGAGCTTTCCTTTACAGAGTCTTGACATGTTTTTTCCAATATCGTTCCCTGGAGAGGTGGAATTAATTTACATACTTTCCTTTCTGAATCCTGTTGTTTTTATTCTCAGAACAGAACATCCTGCACCTTTTAAAGAGTTATTAAGTACTCACCCACAGGGTGGGGCAGGGGTAGGTTTATAGGTGTGAGTACACAAAACAGTTTATTGTCATTTAATTATTTATGAGTTATTGTGCTTTTCATACCAACAACTATAAACCTACTTTTGCCCCACGCTGTGTTTTTTTTGGTCTTGTTTTATGGTATTTTAAAAAATCCTTTAATCTATATGGGGTTTAGTATGGTTTGTGGGGCTCTAATTTGAATTTTCCCACCATTCATTGAATAATCTGTCGCTTTGTAATCTACGTGTTCTTTTTGCTTCCTGAACTTTAAGTTTTTTTTAAATACCTAGATCTGTTTCAGGAATCTCTCGTCTATCGGGTTTCTGTAAAGGAAAGGTTATTAGAGGTTATTGGTGGGCCAGGTATTACGTGAACGTTTTTAGAAAGATTGTTCTTGTTGTGTAGATAGGGAATTTGTTATGCGTTGTTTGTAATTTGGTTCATAGTATAAGTAAGTTGTAGAGACAGGATTAGAATTTTAAGTGAAAGAATGACCTTCATATTGCTCATATTGGTGATCTGTCCTCATTCTTCGGTATTTCATTTGTCACAGTGGCTAACCAGCATTAAAATCAAAAGCTTGTGAGACTACAGTCAAGGTCAGTTTGTAATTTTATAATTTGTTGCTTCTCATTGAACTATAAAATCCATGAATCCTGTAGATAGTTCTGATCATGTAGAAACCCAGCCCCTAAAAATAAATGCAATTGCCTTTATATTAGGTTGGTCATATGGAATTGCTGATATTCGACTGATTTCATATAGTTCACCATTATATCTGTAGCCACATCTACTCACTTTAAAATAGCCAAGCCTGGTCAGTAGGGGAGTTGTTTTTTTAGTCTGTTTCTGATTTCACCCCCAAAGAAGCAAGAAGTGTTAAATACAGTGAGAACTGGTATGTCAAGAACTTTGGCAGACCAACTGGTAAAATGCCAACACTGTGATGCCATTTTATGTGAGTGTGAAATTCACTTGTATAAGCCTGTAATGAACCCTGTTGGCAACACCCATGACCCAGTACCTTTGTGAAACGGGGCCAATCCTAGTAGATACGGAAAACATTCTGAGAGAATCAGAGAACATCAGCTTAAAGTGTCAAGTTCTTCCTTTATTTCTTTCTTGGTTTTGAAAGATCTGTTATGGAAACACTGTAGCACTTCTCAAATACTATGCAAGAAGGCAGAAAGTTTAGGCTATTTATTCATAAATCTTAAATATCTGATGAACTGTCACTTCAACCTTTTGAATCGTGGTAAAACATGAAACATCTTCCATGAGTCCATTTCTGGAATTCACCTTTGCATGAAACATTTAAGGCGAATTTTAAATCACAGCTAGATGTCCTGATGGGCCCCAACCTATGGGTTAGATTCCAAAAACCCATAGCACTCACCACTGGTACCCATATTGTATATTTATTTGTTGATTTCTCATCTCCTTTTCTCTGCCAGTGTGCACGTGCCACGACAGCAGGGACTTTGTTTTTGTTCACTGTTGTATCCCCAGTGCCTAGAACCATGTGCATCTCATGGCACTCAGTATATAGAGTGTCCCCCAAAATGTAGATTCTTTTAAATTTTGAAAATGAACTGTATGTTAATAAACATTGACATCACGATAATTCGAAGTGTGTATATATTTTTTGGAGACGTGCTGTATATTTAGTAAATGAATGAAGAACGAAGTGAATAAGCAGTCTTCTAAATAATGGTTATTTCCTGGCTTAGCCTCCTGAGTATATGTAACTCATAATATATTTGAAAAATGCTTATAATCGCTTGGAGTCTCTGGTCCCCAGGAAGGCCTGTGTTCAGATCCTTTCTGGTATAAGGCCAAGGTAAGATACGCTTGGAGATCTTCTGAATCCTGGATGATGGGAAGTGAAACCTGCTGGACAGACCCTGGGCTGGCCTACAGAGAAGGGAGGAACTGGCCCAGGCAGGGGTCTTCATTTGTTCCTCTGGGGGTTTTGTATCTTTGGTGTCTGGGAGCACTGGCCCTCTTTATATTTTCCATTAAAAAGTTTGTGCTGAGCTCAAGTGAATTCTAAAGCATTCTTTTTGGGGAGAGAAGTCATCACAAGAATGAGAGGAAAGCATGTGAGCAGGCAGGGAGCACTGGGCTGTGCCGAGTGGAATCGGGAGGGTTCTGGGCGGCTTACCAGTGTGCTTTCTGGCCTCTTTCAGGGCCTCCCACCTTCTGAAGAATGGCTCCTGCTTGGCAGAGACTGGGTTTCTATGTCTCTCTTCTGAAGAGGCAGCTAAATGGTGGGTCAGATGTCATCAGTTGGGGGAGGAGAGTCATTCCAGGATGTACCAGAGGAATTTACAGTGTCACGGGACAGTGGACGAAAGAGTATACACTGCAGACAAGAAAGGACGTCGAGAAATGGTGGCATCCACGAATAAAAGAACAGGCCTCCAAAATTTCCGAAGCTGATGTGAGTATTCTGAGAGATGCTGACAGGGTAGAGAAGAGGGGTTAAGGGCTTGGCCTCTGGGGTTGGACTGCCTGGTTCAAACAAGTTATTAAGTATATGACCTTGAACCAAATGATTGAATCTCTCTGTGCTTCCGTTTTCTTGTCTAAAGTGGACAGTGATAGCAACAGTGCCAGCTGCTCCCTGGGATGCTGGTGAGCGGTAAATGTAATGAATGAAACAAGGCTAGTGCTTCGAAGAGTTTCAGTGCGGTGTGTGTGCACAGGTGCATGCAGACATTCTGGAGCAGCATTTACGGTAAACTCTTCAAGACAGGGTCCATAGCAGGTGGCAAGTGTCAGGGTCTTCCTGGTCCATCGCATCCATTGCTGGTGGCACTCCATCAGCTTGTGAATGGGGACTGGTACACTGGGGAGAGCACCCGAGGAGGGGTCTGGAGCCTGGGCAGGAAAATACTGGCTCTGCCCCCGGAATTAGTGTGAACTTGGCAACATCATGAACTTCCGAGGTCCTCACTTTCCTCACGTTATTTATGTCACAGAACTCTTTTGAGGATCCAATGAGGAAATGTGGCTGAACACATTTTACAACCTGAAGTGTTATGTAAATGAAAGGTGCAGGAGGAGACACGTGTCTGGACGAGAGTACTGCTGGGTGCGGGCGGGTTCTGGAGCTTTTGTAATCGACCTCCCTCTGGTATTACATGCAGCTGAAACCCACCCAAATGTTTCCCAGAAGCTCAGTGTTTTGCCATCACCATCTTAATTACCATCCTAAAAAGAACTTCCATTTAATGAGCATATTACTATGTGTCAGGCACCATCTGCCCATTTATTTTCTCATTTAGTCCTGAAATGACCCTCAGGGAAGGTCATTACCCTCAGGGGTAAGAAGACTGAGGCTCAGGGGGAGGTTTGGTAATTGGTCGAGTCGCACAGCTGACCTGTGGCAGAGCCAGGGTTCGGACCCAGTCAGTTTGACAGCCGAGCTCATGCTTTCCCCCAGAACCTGGGTGTGCCTCACCTTTGACGTACAGATCATGAGCAGCCAGAAAGGCAAAGCTAGGACCAGAACTAGGGCTCCCGGCGGCTGTTGAGCGCTCCTTCCCTCTGCCATCCTCCCATCCCAGCCTGCGACAGCTCAGAGCGGGATCTGTAAAGAGGCAGAAGTTATCTCTGTCCTGACGTCAGAAGCTGGCAAAAAGAATAGGACCTATTTATAAAGACCATCTTTTTCCCATCGCTTACAATCTTAATTTCTTTTAAAAGTTTAAATTCCTACACTTTTATATAATTATGAAAATTTCCCTTTCAATCAGGTTCCTGCTTGGTTATAATATAAACTCCCATAATTCCTTCCCCTCTTTCCACCCCCAGAGGATAGAACACATTTCATTGTGACAGAGGAAGATGACTTAATTCACACAGAAAGCAGAAGGCAGGGGCAGGCAGTAAGCTGAATACTTTTTCTGCACTAAAAATATTCATGAATATTAAAGGCTTTTGCTAGCCATTCTTTTCAATATATCTTCTATAAACTCAGTTTCCGTGTTCGGCTCAGCCACTATATAATGAATCACTCAATTTTATGTAAGTTTAAGCTTTGTTGGACAGGCATACAAAAAGCAGATGCTAATGAAGAAGTTATATGTGGAAAGTGTTTGGGGCAGGATTGATTGTCAAATAAACAATATAAAAAAAGTATTACTATAATAAAAACAAGATGATTATAATAAAAGAAAGACAAGTTTAATGTAAAAACTTTACAGTGAAAAACTAGAAATAATTTATATCAAGGAGTTTCTTGTTTTTTTATTTGTTTTTTCAGGTTTCAAAGAACTCTATAGCAGCTCTTTCTGGGTCCCTAAAAATGGGTAGGGTGGATAGTTTGCTTATTTTCGATTCTGCACCATTTGAAGGAATAAAGTCTTGCATTTCTTTTGTGAGCCTTGTTTACAAGCTGAGAGGATTAGCTGTCACTGTCTTCTTAAAGACCTAATTCCTGAGTCCGCACTGACTCCTGAGCCTCTGGACCTCTCCCACACTCCTGAGGTTTTCGTAAGAGTTATGGATCCGCAGTTTCTGATTAGAGAGCGTGGTCAGTGTGCTGCTTCCCATCCATTTATATAAATCGACAGCATTTCAAGGTGATTTTCTAGTCCGTGCAGACTAGTTCCAGATTCCTAGTTCCCTTTTCTGCCTTCAGGCAGCTTGACTTGACCGCTCGCCAGTCATTTGTAGAGGATGCGCAGGACAGAGAAAAGTTCCACTCTCGTCTGTTTTGCCAGGTTATCGGCTCTATTAAAAGTTTGTTTAGCTTCTTCGCTGAAGGAAGTTTAAAGGAAGGGGTCAGATGAGATGGGGAAGAATCTGACTTCTGGTTTTTCCAGCTCCCCTGGTCACAGTTGGCTGTGTCAGTGTCCGGTCATGCAAACATTAGCAAAAAACATAGCACCCTCCCGACATGCGCACAAAGGAATGGTTAGGAATATTCTGTTTTGCATTTGTTTTCATTAGTTTGGGGGGAGCAAAGTCTTAGAGAACTGTGATAGAGCTCTAGGAAGGGAGGAGGGACAGAAAGGGAAAAGCAGAAGGCAGAAATAAATACAGTAGTTATAATATCAGACGCCCCCAAGCCCTAGTGACTAAGCAGAATCAGTTACTGCCCTTTCTTCAGGAGCCCCTTCTCCACGGGAGGATTTGCGCTGGGCGGGGGAACGTTCCTGTCACCTGGACAGGGTTTGTGGACTTTGCTGGAAAATGCCCGTCAGTAATGCCCAGTTTCCATTATGAGAAGTTTTTTCAAGAGGTAACTTTTTACAATGTTGAACCATTACCTTGAGGACAGTGCCCACTGTTATGTGCAGGCAGCTTCCCAGTAAATGCTTAATAAATACTCATTGTCACTTTCTACCATCCTGTCCTAGAAATCGAAGCCCAAGTTTTATGTGCTGTCCATGTTCCCGTATCCGTCTGGCAAGCTTCACATGGGCCACGTGCGCGTGTACACCATCAGCGACACCATCGCGCGGTTCCAGAAGATGAGGGGGATGCAGGTAAGGACAGGTGCTGCCGGACAGCTGTGTCCGCATCCCGCAGGACAGCCAGAGCGTGTAACGCGTGTTCAAGGCAAATGGAGAAAACGCTTTCAGTTAACACCTTGCTGACCAGCTATTTCAAGCCAGAACTCATCCGTGCGGCTGGCTACTTTGGTCAGCAAGATGTTTAAAATTACTTAAATTAATGTAAGTGCAGACACGAGCGAACTCATGACCGGTCGGCAATGTTAGGACACGGAAACAGGTGTATACTCAGAACAGTCAGCAAGGTGTAATAAGATGAGATTAGCTTTGAAGATAAACATGAAAAGCTCAGTGTTTCCTCTTATGAATTGGGAGACATGAAAATAAAGCACATAGATTAGTTGGGAGGGGGCAGCCATGCTGGGAGTTGTGCTAGGGATGGAAATGGGGTAGGGATGGCATGGGGGAGCCACGAATGTGGGTAACACCTGATGTCTGCCCGGCAGGAGTTCACAGTCTGGTGGGGATGAAACACATAAATAGATAATCATTGTTTTGGGGGATGAATCCAATAGCGTAAATACAGATCGAAGACTCTGAGTAGGAGGTGGGGCCACAAATAAATTTTTCTCTTTGAATTGACTATTTTCTGTGTTCTCTAATGAGTGTGTATTCATTTCATAATGGAATAAGTAAAATTTTTGTAAGAAAAATATATTTGGGGGGTAATAGCTCTGGGAGAGTTGGGAGAGACTCCACTAAAGAGGGACCATCTGGCATGGATCTGGGGAATTAGGTGAAATTTACTGGGAGAGAGGAGAGAAAGATCCTTATTGGCTGGTGTGGGTCAGTCCCCTTCCCACCACTGCTGGTCACCCCAGGGTCTGTTCTTTACTCCCTAGTGACATGATGTGGGAATAACCATAGCACCTTCCTTAACTCCTTACAGAGAGGCAGGGTGGAAGAGAGGCTGTGAGCAGGGACCGCTGAACCAGGTGGCCAGGGTTAGAAGGCCAGCTCTAAACACTTCCTAGCTGTGGACCTTAGACTAGTTACTTAATTAACTTCTCTGAGACCTAGTTTTCTCTCATCCGTAAAGTGGAGATCAAATAGTACCTGCCCTATTACAAGGGCCTGTTACAAGGATTCAAAGAGGATGACTATGAAGCACTTGACATATACCTGGCATGTGGTAGTAACAATAAATATTAACAGTAAATGTTAGCACTGTCAATGGAGGGCTGGATTCTGCTCACGCCATCGCCCAAGAGCCCACTGTGCATCTCCACCCAATCTTGTGTTTCTTAGTCACCTTAGTAGCTTGCAATCCAACATGTTGGGATTCTTTACACCGTGGAAATTGGCAAACACTACAAATCAGGGCTTCTTCCTTGAGAGAACCAGTTGTTAGACGTTAATGGGCTCCCCCACTGACTGTGATTAACTGGCCGGGGCTGTACAGATGATGCCTGCCACCTCCTAGTCCTTTGTGAACATTTTCTTTTAGAAAGATGGGTGCATCCTTGTCACAGTTGGTTTGAAAATTTATGCTGAACTGCTGTTGGCAGCAAGAAGTAATCCTAAAAAGGAAGTCAAGTTCCAATGCCTCTTTGTCACTGGAAGAGTTAATAATTTTGTACTATCAGCCTCAGAGATTTGTGTTCTGCTTGAAGGCGGCCACAGGTGTTTGTCTCCCTGGTTTATGCCAGATGCCATCTCCCCGACACTGCTTTCCATCTTTTCTGCTGTGTTTATTAGGAAGAGGCGGTGTGGAATGAATTGGCTCTTTGCCTGAAGTATAATTCTTTATCTAACTGTGATGCTTCAACTAGATTTTTCTTTTTTTTAAATTTATCCAACTTATTTTAGACAATTAGCTAATGCAGGCAAATCACTGAAGATTAAGCTAAAGCAAAACTGTGCATTTATGGTAAAGAAAGGGAAGCCTGTTTACAGCTAGGTGATTGGCGGGGGTGGGGGTGGTGTAGGTGGGATTTTAATTCCTTTGGGTGGATGAGACGTTACAGCGAAAGCTCCAGGCAGAGCCCTAGGCCAGAGGTACCCGGACCCTTGTAGGCAGCTCAGGCCCAAAAGACAACATAGAGTCGCCTACAGTAACAGAGGCCCGCTGCAGGAGTTGGACAGCCTAGGCCTGAACCCCGTTCTACTGCTTCTAGCTGAGGGACTCTGCACAAGTCATTTAATGTCTCCGAACCCCACTTTCCTGACCTTTGCAATAGGGATAACAGTCATTCCTCTCTAGGGGTGGTTGTGCAGGTTAAGTGAGTTTAGTGCATGTGTCTAGCACATAATCGTCCCTTACTGAGTGGCCGCTGTGATTATTTATACTGATCGGATTAGTCTGGGAAGTCACTCGTCTCCATAGAATAAGTGAGTCCCTGCTCCCTTCTGTCTGGATTGCGATGCCCGGAGCTGACTTCTGAGAAGCATCTTAACTGCACGTCATTGCCTGCCATCTGTGTTATCTGTCCTATGACTGGATTGGTGCCTGAAACACAAGTTTTTTTCTGCTCCATTTTGTCTTTGCATTGCTGACAGATCGAGGACGGTCCCCCTTATTCCTAGTTGGCTGAGAATTGTCATCGCGCTGGGCCATCTCGTCAGGTTGCTCTCCATAGTGTTGGTGCTGATTTGTACTCCTGCCAGCAATGAATGGCGTTTCTTACTAACGTACATCCTTGACATCACTTATTAATGTTAGACTTTTTAATCCTTCTAATTTGGTAAACAGGAAATGATAATAGCTAGTTGTGTTTTTAATTTCCATTTTCATGGGTGTCGTCCTAGTGAAGCTGAGATAACTTCGTGTCTATTTAAGTTGCCTCATCTCTGATTGGCTCGCTCACATTATTTGCCAACTTGTTCATCTTTTTCATGTTGCTCTGTAGGACTTTGTCTGGATTATTGATTCGTTGTTAGTTAGCAATACAAAGACCTTTTCCCAGTCTGTGGTTTCGCCTTGCTTCTGAGCCTGGCCAGACCACAGATTGTAAGTTGATTGCGAATGGGTGAGAATGATGGTTTGAAAAGTTCAGGTTTGCTTTTACTTTGGTTTCCTCCTATAGCAGCAGATAAGTCATACAAAGGAGAGAAACGAGACAAGAGTGTAAATGACGATTGGGATCCCCGTGCTCATGTTGTAGTTCCTAGAGATGTGCCTGAAAGCCAGTACCATCACAGTTCTCTTAGGGAGACTATTGTCACAAACAGTTGACCAGACCATGGACACACAAGTAGATCACATGTGGCCTTTACAAGTAGAAACGCAGTGGTTTGGGGGTGATAAATTGATTAGGAATCAGGAATTAGTCAACAACAGTGGCCTACCCGCCTCCCACCTCACAGATTTGTTGCAAGGCTCATGTGAGATAATCAATGAGAAGACCTTTTAAAAATTCTAGTGCACCCAGCCAGCGTGGCTCAGCGGTTGAGCATTGACCTAGGATCCAGGAGATCGTGGTTTGATTCCCGGTCAGGGCACATGCCCGAGTTGCTGGCTCGATTGCCAGTAGGGGGTGTGCAGGAGGCAGCCGATCAATGACTCTCATCATTGATGTTTCTCTCTCTCTCTCCTTTTCCCTTCCGCTCTCTGAAATCAATAAAGATATATTTTTAAAAAATAAAAATAATTTTAGTGCAATTTTCCAGTGTAACCCAATTAATAACAGCACTAATAAGGTTGTGCTGAAGTTTGGACGTTTAAGCAGGGGCTGCTCGAAGCCAGGGATAAATTATCTTCTTTCAGGAATCAGAAGAGGCTGCACTGTCAATTGGTTCCTCCATAAACCCGGACAATGTCTGATGACACATTTACAGCTTAGCACCATATGGTGATTTTGTTGTGTTTTCATCTGTTGTACGCACAGATGGCTGGAAAATAAAATTACCCGCCTCCCACCTCGGCTAGTCTCCCTGGCACCTCCAGAAGCCGGGTGATTCAAGCACCAACGTGCCAAGTCCCCCTCACAGACTTGGGCTAATTTGTCTGAGGCAGGAAACCTCCGGGCACTGCCTGAGTAGCATTTTCTGCTCGGGCCTTTTTGCTGTTCCCTGTGGAAGAGGAAAGGCATTGAGGCTGTGTCTGGCAGCCGTGTGGACAGTGTCATCACCTCTGAATATCAGAAGCAGGGGAGTTCTTAGCGAGTGGACTGAAATATACGTTTCATCAGTTTCCAGTTTGCCCATCAGTTAATAAATGTCTATGAAGGGCCCCGGGTGTACAGCTTGGCACTGCGTTTTCAAATTTGCAAATTCCTGTAGTGTTTGAAAGTAGAGAGTGGGTTTCTGGAGCTTATCTTCTCAGATGTCATTTGAGGGAGAGAATGAATTGCTGGTCCAGGGTCTTGATTGGAAACTGGCTGATCTCTGCCCGTCGCGGCCTTCCACACTCCCAGGGGTCTGCTTGGGCCTCTGTACTGTCACTTGGGTTTCTCTTACCGTGAAGTATTCACTTGAATCTGATCCCCAATCTGTAATCATGGTGAGCTATTAACACTTGCTAAACGAAATGAAATGTTGTGTTTCTCATTTCTTGGAAATAAACTGTTGCATCTACTCTGGAGAAACCGTGGCGCTCTCTCTGAAAATAGCAGTTTTTTTGAGAAGCAGTAACCATGGTTGCTGTCAGTTAGAAGCTGAGTTGGTTTCAGATGTGAAGTTTTGTTTTATGAAGAAAGGGGGAGAAAGCCAATCGTTCCTAGGAAATTGGCTGGCTCCTCGGTGACAGTGTGCTCCTCTCTCCATCGGGGAGCCCGACGACCAGCTGCCCCAGTTTCCCGGCTCCCTCCAGAGTCTCTTCACTCGACTTGTTTGATCCTACTTCCCGTGTAGGAGGAAGAACTGTACCTTTGCTTGTTCTTCTTCTTCTTTTTTTTTACCTTTTGAAAGAAAACTATTTTAAAATTGAACATAAAATTCCATGTTCCCCCTTAAATACACATATGCATATATAAGGCTGCAGTCCCCTTTGCGCGCTCCCTGCCTCACCAGGCCCTTCTAGACAGTAATCCAGATATTTTCCAGTTTGTCCCTCCAGAGCCTTGCCTGTACATTGTCATATGTAGCTACGCTTTCTCCTGTGTCCTTTTCCTGTTCTGCTTGCCATCTGTCCTGCCCGACAGCCCTGAGATGTCTATGGCTCTGCCTGGAGGGAGGCAGGGACTGAGCTGTGGTCAAGTGACTGTGTCTACACCAGAGGCTGGCCTAGACCCAGCTCCCAGGCCTGGCCTCCTGGCCAGCTCTGGTCTGACCTGTCAGGAGTCTGATCCCTGTGTTTGCCTTTCATCAGTAGCTGGTCTTGACTCTTCTTTGATGTCTCAAATCGTGGTAGGTTTTGCAGTCCTACTGGCGTTCCTGTGCTGGTCCTTGGCCAGTTTGCTGTCAGATCCATCCCCTGCTTTGCCTTGAATGGCAGAAGGGCAGACCCCTTCAGGCCACGTTTCCCAAGTTCTGGTGTCAGCTGGCCTCTGGCTGGTTTTGGACAGTAAGAAATTCTGGCAAAAGTGGGGGGCAGGAGGAAAGGAGAAGCCTGGGAATTTCTCCCTGGCCTGGATAGTGTCTCCTTCATTAATCCAGTTTCATGTCGGCAGATCTGCCTATGTCAGCTTCTGCACCGACCTCAGCCTTTGAGCTCTGCTAACCCGCCTTCCTCCCTTCCTGCCTTCCGTCTAGAAGTGGTAGCGGTGTCCTGCTCTCCCGAATTTCCTGGTTGTTTTGCTCTCTGCTTGGCTTCTCACTCAACTTTAAATTCTTAGAGTATTTGTTAGAAGAAGAGCTGGAAATGATGATTTTTCACACTGGAAATTTATTTTTTAGATTCACAGGTTACAGCTACTAGGACTTTTTCTTGATTCCTTTCTGCACAAAGCACTCATATCCAAGAAGAGGTGAACTCCTAGGGGATTAAAAGGCTCAGGTAGCGCTGGCATATGGATCCAGATGCTGGGTTTTGTGGTTTTTTTAAAGAATAAATTGCCTAGTTGGCAGATGTTACTGTGGAATGATGGAAGGATGAAACCAAGTTATGGTGATGAAAAGAATAGGAATTTGGGAGCTAAAAAGTAGAGTTTAGAGTCATTCCAGTGGATGCTTTAGAGAGTCTTGGCCACAGAGAAATCACAGTCAAGAAAATGGGCATTGACACCAATAATGGAGGAATTTGATCTGGATGCCATGTGAGACCAAGACGTGAACGAGACTGGCACAGGAAGCCCCAAGACTGGGCAGCACAGCATAGCACACAGCAAACCAGGCTCTCCTGGGGCAACAGCAAGCTGGAGGGAGCCTCAGCATTGTTTTTTCACCAGGCCTATGTAATCACTTCCAGAAAGCTGATCTGCGTGGGTCAGATCCACCACCAACCCTAACACGACAAGATACACCCAGCAGTGTCCTTGCCCAGGGCAGCCAGAGGCAGCAGCTTCCTGCCCAGAGCACAGATGCTGCCTTCTGCTTGTGGGCGGTGCCTGGGCCACGCAGCAGTGGCCAGAACAGCCAGCTGCTCTCCAGCAAAGCACCTGATATGGGCCTTGAATTATGTGGGAAAGAAGAAGAACTGCTGGGCCCCTTACACAGAAAAGAAGGCCAGGTAGCTGGTCACCCCTTTGAGCCTCATGGTCTGTTCGATTTGGTTAACTTCCAATGCCTGGCACCAGCCTGCTCCAGAGGCTCGTGGTCAGTAACCCACTTAGGAATGTCCATGCATGAGGATGCGTCTGGAGTCAAGGTGTCTCCCTACCTGTTGTGGCGAAAGAGACTTTTTATAATTTCAGAAAACAGTTCAGGTTAGTTACAAACAGTACAGACAAGAAGATATGTCAGAGGTAGCCTACTGGCTTTCCAGAGCATATTTTGAAACCACCCAGGAAGGGATAAGGCATGTTAGTAGGAGAGAAGGCCTGTTTATTGCCCAGAAGAAAATACTGGTCTAGGTAGCCACCGTCTGCCATGCCTGACATTTTCCTTGTGATGCTAGGTCATCAACCCCATGGGGTGGGATGCATTCGGACTGCCTGCCGAAAATGCCGCGATTGAGAGGAATCTACATCCAGAAAGTTGGACGCAAAGGTATGTATTTACAGACATATTCAGACACCTATGTATAGAAAGCTTAAGATAATTTTTAAAATCTGTGCATGAGAAATAGAAAGCAAAGTAAACTGAACATTGTAGTCTGCCAAGTGATAGGATTGTAAATACAGGTGTTTGTCTTTTAGCGCTCTACATTCTTTTTTTTAATCCCTACCTGAAGATATACATATATATTTAAATTTTTTATTGATTTTAGAGGAAGGGAAAGAGAGAGAGGAATATCAATGTGAGAGAGAAACATTGATCGGTTGCCTCCCGTATGTGCCCTCACTGGGAATTGAACCCGCTACCTTTCAGTGTACGGGGCGATACTCCACCCAACTGAGCCCCAGTGGCCAGGGCAACACTCTGCTTTCTTATCTAAGAAATTGCACATTGGGTTTTGGGTGTTCATACTTGTGTTCATTTAGAAAAAATACGTCTTTATTGATTTCAGAGAGAGGAAGGGAGAGGGAGAGAGAAATAGAAACATCAATGATGAGAGAGTCATGGATTGGCTGCCTCTGCACGCCCCCCACTGGGGATGGAGCCCGCAATCCAGGCATGTGCCCTGACTGGGAATCGAACCAGTGACCTCCTGGTTCATGGGACAACGTTCAGCCAACTGAGCCACACCAGCCAGGCTCATGTGTTCATTTGGTGCTTGGTTATTTACAAAAGTTATTCTTTTGAGTATTTGCATTTGGAAGGAGAAGGAGGAGGAGAGGGTTGTATTTGTTAAATTTCCATAATTAATGCTTCTCCTCTCCCCGACCATAGTTTGAGCGGTATCCAAATTCCACATTATAGTTCTCTCTGAAAATTCTTTTAATTTTTTGCTTTCACCACTGCGAAGCAAGAGGAATTAGCCCTAAATTCAACATAGAAATACATGGTCAGTTTATCCTGGGTGTGGCTTTCTCCAGACACACTGCCATTCCCGCCCATGCCTCAGGCTCCCATATCCACCCCCCTCCCGTCTGAAAACCAAGCCTTTTTTCCTCTATTTCACAGCAATATTAAGCACATGAGGAAGCAGCTCGATCGCCTGGGCCTGTGCTTCAGCTGGGATAGGGTAAGTGGACCCTCTCTCACGGAAGGTCTTTATTTTAACGAAGGTTCTGATTGCACGGGGACCATGACAGTCGCTTCACATGCCTCCTCCTCAGGTTGGGAGAAGGGAAGGGAGGGAGGCAGTAAGCAGGTCTCCACAGATGAAAAAGTATCCCCAGGGATAATTCGCCTGCAAACAAGTAATCTTCTGTGAGATTAAGCTAAGAGTGTTAACTTCTTATTTAAACTTCACAGGGGCTATGATTATGCGTGGCGACAGCTTTGCACGGGGATTTCCGCTGTTCTCAGCAATAGTTGAAAACAACTGTTGGAATCTATGTGCTTGTGATTAAATATCCACCCATTTGGTCCTTTTAGGTGATTAGGTGCTAAGTTGATTTATTGACCTTTTGTTCCAAGTTTGGAATTGAGGCAGAATTATGATTCTGTCATCAATAAATTGTCGAGTCACAGGAAGTTGCCAAAATAGTACAGAGAGACACGTCCCCTTCCCCCAGCCTCCCCAGTGATAACATTTTCTGTAACTACACAATAATATCAAAACCAAGAAACTGACACAGGTACAGTACTATTCATGGGAGTACAAACCTTATTTAGATTTCACCAGCTGTTATATGGAGGCATTGTGTTCGCGTGTGTGTGTGTGTGTGTGCTTCGTAGTAGTAGTTCTATGCAATTGAACCACATGTATAGATCTGGTGGAGAAGTCCGAGGGCAGCCCCAGTTGTTTCCTTGTAATACAGTGATCTTTCTACCTCCATCTTGATACTTGCTGGATTTATTTCTTTCTCTGCCCTTCCCGTTTAAAATTTTCACCAGTCTGTGGCTCCATGTAGATCCTCTCCCTTGAATTTCACTTGGTACTTAGTGACCGCTCCGGGGCAGAGGTAGGCCCTTTCTCAGGAACGCTGCCTGTGGGCCTGGGCGCTGTTCACCGACCTGCGTTTTTACCATCTGGATAATTTGTACTCCTGTTCATTGGCTTTTAAATTCCTGTGACTGGTTTCTTCCTTGTGTTTTTACGTTTGGTCTTCTGTACATGTCAGTGCCCAGTGGTAACACTGATGGCTTTGCCCATGGCGGGGCCAGGGAAACACAGGAATTACTGCCCCTTAGACAGCTGTGCACTGGAACAGACTCAGACTGTGCCCTCACACTCTCCCCGCCGGCGTGTGGGCTGGGAAGGGAGCAGGGGTGGTTTTCCTAGAGCAGTGGAAGAGGCATCTTAGAACCGCACTCAGCACTCACAGCCGGACGGGCTTTTGGCCACTTTGAGCTCTTCCAAGTTTTGCCGTCAGTGCCGCACGGCCTGCGTGAAGCAGGGTGGCCAAGGAGGGGTTTGGGGCACCCCCACCATCTGCACTGATCTCTGTGCTTCTGATTCTCTTGCTTTCTCTCCATCTTTCTATTTATTTATTTATTAAAAACAAATTTTTTTTTAAGTGCCCTGACCGGAATTGAACCCCGTCATCCTGGATCCTAGGTCGATGCTCAGCCGCTGAGCCACGCCGACTGGGCTCCCTATCTTCCTTCCCTTTCACTGTCCTCTCCACTCTCTGTTCTCCCTCATCTTTTGCTCGACTCACCTGCTTTCCTTTCCCCCTCTTTCATCTGTCTTCCTGTCTCTTTTTTAAAATAATCTTCTTTTATTTTGGAAAATTTCCAATGTATTCTAAAAAAGTGAGACTAGTATAGGGAGCCCCCAAAGACTCATCACCCGGCTTCAACAGTTGCTATTACACGGCCAATCTTACTTCATCCGCACCCTCCACGTTGAATAATTTTGCAGCAGGCCCCGGACACGATACAACTTCATCTGTAAAGAGCTCAGTACCTGTGGCAAAGATGAAGGCTCGCTGGCTCCTTCCTTCCTTCCTCACAATTCCATTATTACAGCGAAAATGATTACTGATAGTACCGTGTAGCATCATGGAATGGCAGTCATTTTGTAACTTCCCCTGGGCATCTCGTGCTTCTTTACACCACAGGTTGGTGGGCCTGCGCTTCTGCAGGTCTTTGCTGAGCCTTTTCCTGCCCACCCCCATGTCGTTAGTTATCCTGGTTGGGGAGCTGTACTCCTCTCATCCAAAACACCCAGCTCTTTGGACCATACCCGCATGAATTTATTTTCATGATTTGTATGATTTTCGTGATTTGTATCATTACAAAGTGAAAATTATTGCTTCAAGGCCCTTACAACCTTGGCATTTTATTTACCTAGAGGACTAGATGTCTGATAAGGAAGGATTAAATGACGAGAAATAATGAGGGCTCCAGGATAATGGAAATATATTTTTTAATGTTTTTTATTTTAAAAGGATTCAAAAAATAGCTTAAAACAAAAAGAACTTGAGGACAAGTGAGTGCCTGGAAACAGGGTTGGGAAGACTCCCCTTGCAGAGCTGGGAGCTGTGGTTGCCTTGACAACGCCTAACAGGCCCCGAAGTGGTTGACTCTCCGGGTCCCCTTTCAGGCCCTTCAGGGTCCCTTTTCAGGTCCTTCAGCGGTAAAGCAGTGTGTCTGGCAGATTTCCCGCTCTGGATCACTTGATCTCCCTCAGAATCAGAAAGTTAACCTTGTCCTGGAGTTTTTCTTTGGTTGATGGGGTGGGGGTGAGGGTTGCCTTTGTTTTAGCTGAAGTGAACGGGCACCTTATCTTTTAGTGCCTCCCTGTTTCCAGGGAGGTGGGGGCTGGGGCCTGAGGGTTGGCTCTCAGAACTGTAGTCATGTCCGGGTGGGGACCGTATGTCATCATGAACACATGGCACAGGTGCAGCTGAGCTCAGACGGGGCTGTGCCAGCTCAGTACTGATCAGCCTAAAATGTGCTGCAGAGGTCTTCGCTGCCCCAGCAGGATAGCCTTCCTAGACTCTTCAACCCTAACTAAAGAAGGAGCCTCTTGGGGCCACCCAGTAAGTGTGCCTACAAGAGGAAGTGGTTGGTTCTGTTGCAGTTCCCGCTGGTGGTCCTGAGCCCAGTCAATGATGAATATAATGATTTTGACTTTTGAAGAGTTTTGTGTAGTGGTTTTGAGGAATGTCTAGCAGTCTGGATTTGTCTGATTGGTTCTTCAGGTATCCCTTCCAGTTGCTATGGCTGCATAACAAATGAATTGTTTGATTTGTTGTCTTAAGTTTGTAAATTATGTTTGTAAATAGTGGTACTTAGAGTAGGAGTGGAGAACATGCCAGGGTGACAGGAGGCTAACTGGTGCTTTTAATGGGATGTTTTCTGTATTAGACAGGAAGTTCTGGGATGATGTCTCCTCTGGAGTCTCACACTGGGTTCCACACGTCTTTCTTACAAGGTAAACTCACTGAAGACATGTCTAATCACCTTGAAGGATGAGCCATTCCAGGGTGAGAGTTATTCATGGCATCTCACAGCCCTAAATGAACTTTTCAAATAACCTTTCAAATTTACTGTCAAAACACATCTTTTGTTTGAGAACTTATATGTGGAAGTCAATTTCAGGTGAGCCTGGAATTTAAAAACTTTTCTTCTGATAAGAGCCTGGAAGAGCCAAGGGAAACTGACACATGGCCCAAGGACAGTGCCAGTGAAACAGATCTGCAAGAAAAGTAGACATCCAAGGCGGAAGGGTTGAGGACTGAGACCCACCTCTTCGTGTGAGGAGCGGCATGCATATGCAGACAGGGAAGGACTGTGGTGGCCATCCTTGGGGATGACCAACTACAGAGAAATGCGATGAAATCACCAAGGGACAGTGTAGGGAGAACAGAGCGCCCAGGATGTCTTGTATATGGGGGGTCAAGAGATAAAGAGGAGCCAAAAGTCCCAGGGTTAGAGTAGAATTGCAGTAAAATGGTGCTGTAGAAACCAGGGGAGAGAGAATTTCCACAGAGAGAATGAGCAGTAGCCACTGGATAAGGGAGAAAAGGCTCAGAAAGCCACTGACGATCAAGCTGGTGATCAAAACAAGCTTTGGGGGAAGGGATTCTAGGGAGATGGCAGGGCGTAGGAAGTACCAGGAATCCGCCTCCCCACCTAGACAACTGCACTGGCAGAAGCTGTCTGATGTAATTATTTTGGGACTTTGGAGTCTATTGAAGACTTGCAGCTTCCAGGGGAAGGGCTTGAATGGTAAATTGCAGTTAATTTTGGTCAGTTTCAGCTCTTAGCTCATTGGTGGCTACCAGTCCCTTCCCCTCCAGCCCCATGGGAGGCAGCCGTGCACATGTTCCTGGAGCAGCTTGCAGGGGCCAGGGGGTGCAGTAGGACCCTGTCCTCCCAATATCAAGGATCTGTGTTCTCATTGCTGGTGGTTATTTTAATTAACTATGTCCCCAAAGTACAGTATTTTATTACTAGTTATTGTTAATCTCTTGCTGTGCCTAATTTATAAATTAAATGTTATCATAGGTTTGTATGTATAGGAAAAAACATAGCATCTCCAGAGTTGAGTACTATCTGTGGTTTCAGGCATCCACTGGGGTCTTGGAACGTGTCCCCCACAGATAAGGGGGGACAACTTAGCACTGAAGTGTACACTTAAAAATAGTTAGGATGGTAAATTTTATGTGCGTTTTACCATAATAAAAAAATTGGAGGGGAAAAATCTGGCTTTGGGGTGTGAAAATCAAAGCTGGAAAACTTTTCCCAGTCTTGTTCGAGGACACGCTGATATTTCAAAGCACAGCCCGAATTGTCTTCTGTCTGTACTCCTTGGCATTCCTGGGTTATTGGCTCTCTTGGTTCCGATTCTGGGACTTATGAGGCACAAAGAAAACCCGAGGAACTCACCACCATGTCACTCCTCAGGTGTTGAGGTTCCTAGCCAGCTTGCCTCTCCTCTCTGCTTTTCAGAGTCTTATGTTGTTTCCTATATAAAAAGTCCAGGGTTTTTAGTTGTGCTTAGTAGAAAGAGTGGGGGAAAGTACATCTATTCCATCTTCTCGGAAGAAGGAACTGGCATATACAGGGTGGGGCAAAAGGAGGTTGACTGTTGTGAGTGTGCAGATATTATTTATTAATTATTGT